ACTTCTTTAAAAAATAAAATCGTTTTTGTAGGATGGAAACTTTTTGAGGTCAAAACCCCCCACCCCCAAACTAAAGGAAATAAGTTTTTTATCCGACATCGATCTTTTGACGTCATCCCTTATTACAAATGGTCTGAAGATTTGCAAAGTCAAATTTGTAGTGGTGGATAGACGTGTTAAAAAACAGCTTAATTCATAAACAGTGTAATCAGAAATTAATTTCTGCCGAACAAGAAAGGAATTTGTAGAGTGTCGCTGTAATGAAGTACGTTTACTACGGTAGGAAGTGTTCATCAGTCTACACCTCCCTTCGTGTTAAGTTTTACTGTGAGGAGAGACCGTAATATATACTATGGGGCTTTAAAAAGGGTTTTTTATGAACATCGCAAAGGGATTTACCAAAAATTAATATACCGATACACAACGTAGTCAATGAACACTGTCATCAAAATGAAATTACATGAAATGTGCTCTGTGAGTCAAGACATGACAAAAAAAAACACCTACCAATGGATTAGTAGCAATGCCAATTTTTGAGAGGTCGAAAATACTACCACATATCTAACAAAGAGAGAGCGATGTAACGTGAAGCAGTTTAGTGTGAAATATAGTTTACAAGACAAAGTGATTGTTTTATTTTATTTTATTCAACAAACTACCCACGCTGGGAAACTATCTCTGTACATTTCACTTATTGTGGTGTTGAAAAACAACCCTAATATCAACAAGCAGCCTCTTGGCTAAGATAGCTCCGCTGTTAGCAATGCACATTTCAATTAAAGAACAGAAGATATCATTAGAAAATTAACAATATGCATAGTATCAATGCTATGGGACTTGCTGTTTTCAACAAGAATTCAAAAACATCATTTTTCACCATAAATGATTGTGGTTTTAACAAGAAGTCGAAAATATCACTTTTTACCAAAAATGACAAAAGTATTCATCAAAATTAGAGAATTGAAGATATCATCATGAAATGAACAAATTTGAGAGTGGTCCACATGTACTACTTATATATGTAATATCAAAGCAATTGGACTTGTGGTTTTTAACAAGAAGTCGAAAATATCACTTTTTACCAAAAATGACAAAAATACGGTATTCACCAAAATTAGAGAATTGAAGATATCATTACAAAATGAACAAATCTTAGAGAGGTCCACATGTACTACTTATATATGTAATATCAAAGCAATTGGACTTGCGGTTTTTAACAAGAAGTCGAAAATATCACTTTTTACCAAAAATGACAAAAATATTCACCAAAATTAGAGAATTGAAGATATCAACATGAAATGAACAAACCTAAAAGAGGTCTACCAAAGGTACATATACACCAAGTATCAAAGCATTCAGGCTCGTAGTTTTCAAGAAGAAGTCGAAAAAGTAAAACATTGACACGGACGATGGACGACAAACGACGACGGACAATCACTCATATGATAAGCTCCGCTCGACCAAGTCGACAGCGGAGCTAATAAAGCTGTATCGATCTAGAACATGTAGATGTAGATATTGATCTAATGACGTAAAAGTGAATGGCAATCAGTAGATTAACATCATTCTACCTGCCATCACGTGACAACTGAACTACGGTTACAATATCGATATAACCAAACAGTGTGTGTCAACAACTGAGAGATACAATGTAACGAGCAAATAAAGCAAGATTGGAAAAATTCTTTTATCAATGTAGATGCCTGAGCATAGCAGTTATAAGAAGAAAGATGCTGATTAGACAGAATTCTACTTTCCAAACATACATTTTCAGTCAATACTGAAAGACTAACCTTTGAAGACGAATGAAGTTGTTTCATAATTTATTCATTATAGCAGACATGCCAGAATCTTACCTGTTGAATACAGCTACACACTACACTTGTTGGTATTTCAGGAAACTGTTCTTTTAATCTTTTTAATATTGCAGTGTCAATTTCATGGTCCATAGTGTAATAGTACCAATGTGTTCTGCAAATAAAACAAACTGCGATGTAATAAATCATGGCTATTCGGTAAATAACTCAAATATAAATTTTACAGATTTGCCATTGAAGCAGTGAAATTTATCACAAAGATAATTACCGCAGATTTCACTTAAGGTAGAAGCCTACTCACAATTTGACAAAATTGGCCATAAATCGCATGACAATGTTCATTAGTTTATTATGTACAATCATGAAGCTAATTTCCCATGGTACAATGAAATAGCATTATTTTGTGTGTTACAGTTAAGTTTTTTGAGAAACGTGTCCTAATATTTCTTGAAAATCGCTATTTTTAGAACAAATCCATAGAACACAATTTTAAAGAAAAATTGCATTTTTTGGCATTTTTTTAAGACCCAGATTTTTAAAATAATTCAGAAGAACAAAAAGTACTCCTTCATTAACAATATATGATTTTTTTCAGCCTATGTCACCAGGCTAGATTTTGAGATATTGCATAATATCTCTGCCATAGGAACCTATGGTAAAAGTGTTATAATAGTGCCAAAATGGCGACTTTCCACTAAAATAAAACCATCAATATCTCAAAAATAAGGCTGGTGACCCCCAACTTTTTTAAAGTCAATATCCCTATATTGCCTTGGAGTACAGCTTGTTGCAAAATTAATAAATTCTGGGTTTTTTAATTTATGAGTAGGCTTCTACCTTAACAGCCAGAGTTCTTACAGCAATGAGAGAAACCCATAAACAAGACTTTTTAATAGTAATGAAAAACAAATTTAAGACAGAGAAAATACAATGCACAAGGCAATTTTAAATAGTTAACTAAGGAAAGGGTTTTGGATGCAGAGGAATGGGAATTCTAGTTAATTGTGATTTTAATGGTACATGTAACTCTGTGTGCAATACAGAAGATCAGAGAATACAAAAGAAAACAGAAAACAAAAGAATCACATGATCCACTATTCTTAGCAGACATTATAGTAAATATTGTATCATTTTGTCACTTATGCATATTCAAGATTAAAATGAAAAAAACATAAAAATACAGAAACACAAGCCATACAGGTACATACCCATAAGACCAATGTTGCATGACAACCCTGAACACCCAGCGAAAAATGAATGCTTTTATAGAACATAGTTTTGACTAATCTGGATACTAGTAACTGCATTGTTGTTTAGGGGTCAAAAGGTCAAGTCTGTTGTCACCAACGAAACATTTTCTTGGCACTGATGCTTTTTATCACATTTAAAAATAAAATTGTTGGCCCTTTGTGTGCACTGAACGAGTCATGTAAACCTTAGATTCATAGATAATTTGAGGTTATTCAAAAAGGGCAACATATGGAATTCAAACAGTTTTATTGTGTTTCTTGACTCCTGAAAGCACCGAAAATTTGTCAAGATAAATTTGAAAATAAAAGCAACACATTTTCACCTTGGTAAAATGATCACAAGACATTCTGGAATAGAAAATTGGTGAATCGAGATAATCACGATAATTTGAACGAGTGAACAATTTCACTTGGATCATCAAGACATGAAGTCACAGTTGCTTTGCAAAAATATGAACAATCTTTAATTACCTAATATATAACGGTTTACAATGCTTTTAAAATATTTTTTTTTAAGTTTCATATCTAACATATGCAGGGTTCAAAAATTCACAAAGACAGATCATTGCCTGGCTGCCCATGTCTTGATACCCTCCCTTGATATTTTCTACACAAGTTCAAGACATTTCAAAGATGTAGTCTTAAAATTAGGTGTCCTCAAAAAAACGAAGCTTAAGCAACACACATGCCGTAAATATTAAATATTATCTTGCATCAGTTTTTTTGTGTTTACTCAAAATAAGTACCTGCTAAAATAAGCATACTATACATGTAATATCAAAAAATACAGTACAAGGTGAATGAACGCGAATTAACCACATTTAGTAAATGTACTGCTCAATCAATGTTTTGGGTAACAAAATACATTTGCTCTATTACTATCACATGGACTAAATTATACGTAAATGATTAAAGGACTGTGATTAAGGTAAGTCTATGGTCATACTACAAGGTTATAACAAGAATACCAAAAAATATGAACAAAGGCAGTACAGTGGCCGACTCGTAGTGGAGGTTGATGCAATCCTGCACAGTTTGAATGCATACTAAATGCGGTATTTTCATGAAAAACTCATTATTTGTGATATTTTCCTGCTTATAGTTAGTCTGAAATGTTTTCAACAAGAAGTCGAAAATATCACTTTTTACCAAAAATATTCATCAAATTTAGAGAATGGAAGATATCATCACAAAATGAACAAATCTGAAGAAAGGTCCACATGTACCGGTAGTACCCATATATGTAATATCGAAGCAATTGGACTTTCATTTTTCAACAAGAAGTCAAAAATATAACTTTTTACCAAAAATATTCATTCAGCTAAAAAAGCTGATTTTGATGAAAATTTTGCACAAAAATAGCTGCCATTTGGCCATCTAGAATCAGTTTGTGAAATATGTATGTGCATATGTATCCCAGGATGCAAGTGGGAAGTTCGAATGTGATTGGCCCAGATGGAGACGGATGCATGCACACTCAAAGGTCAAAACATATTAAAGTCCCTATTTTTGGACTTTGTTTTATGAATGTCTGTCTTGGGCGGAACTTTGATGTTACGTGTACATAAGTTTATTTAGGCAATTTCATGTACTGTCTATAAAGCTTGAAACTCTTGCAGAACCTTCCAATGCTAGATCAATTCATGGCAAATGTTTAGTTGAAATTTTTTATCTGTAAAAAAAAAATTAATACCCCGGGTATTACTTAAATTTGTACACAAGAAAAAAATAATTTCCTTTGCTGTTAAAAGTAATTTGCATACTTGAAAGAATTATTTTTTAAGGTAGGTAGAATTCAAGTAATAATCAACTGTATATGTTTGAAATAGAAAGAACAGTGATGTTTTTATCATTGTTTCATTGCAAATGTATCCAAGACTAAGAAGAAAATTAATTAAGCATGATACAATTTTATCTTTATTAGCACCATTGTAACCTACAATGTGGTACTAGGGTTAAACTAAGTACATGTACATGTATTGATAAAAAGGTTATCACATAAAAAAATCAGTCATTTCATTTTACCACCAATTGTAATACCAGGAACACTCGTAAATGTTGGGTGCTATCACTAAATCATGTACATGTACTGACCTCTCATCATACTATAAAGCAGCATTAATTGCAAAGTCAAAGACTATCAACATGCTACGAACTATTGGGGAAATGAAAGAAGTCCTTTCCTTATAAACAGCATTTCACTATAAACCGTTCTCATGATTTACTATTAAATTTGCGGGTTTCTGCTAGAACAAAAAGTCACTGTGACCTAAAGACCCTTCTCGATGACATAGGGAAATTTTTCTTTCAAAATTGTACAAGTATTAATTATTCACTAGGTTATGAATTTTGCAACTCTTGCTGACAAGTGAAATGTGCAAAATTAAAATTAGACACATGTGAACATACTGCATTACAAAATGTGCAATAGAATTGTTTCACTGGCAGATGCATTTATTATAAACAAGCAGCCTGTCAGCTGAGCTAGTTCCACTGTTAGCAATGCACATTTACAATATTTAAGAACTGAAAATGTCATTAGAAAATGAACAATATGTATACCCGGTAGTATCAAAGCATTCAGACTTGCTGTTTTCGACAAGAATTCAAAAATGTCACTTTTTACCAAAAATGATAACAATATTCATCAAAATTAGTGACTTGAAGATTTCATCACAAAATAAACAAATCTGACAGAGGACTACCCCAACAATCTATGTTGCAAATACGAAAAGCATTTACTTTAACTGTTTTGAAGAAGAAGACGAAAAAGTAAAAAGTTGACGACAGACTACCCGGTACATACTATGGACACCGGAAGATCAGTAATATGAAGAGCTCTGCATCGTTGACTTTGTCAACAGAGAAGCTAAATATCAAAATAGTGTATTAAAATACCACTTAAAATTAATACTTTTACAGTATTGGTGACAAAAATAAGAAGGCAGTCCCTTGTAAATTTATCAGTATGGATCACATCACACTGACAGCATTTACAATATTAATAAAATTTAATAAACGTTAATATTAAATTATTATATTATTATTATACTATATTACAAAATGTCTGTTGCTATAAAATAAATGTCAACTACTGGGTACTCCCCATAACCATTGAAATTTATGATGAAATTATGCAACACAGGTAGAAAGAAATTATAAGAATCTATAATAGACAAATCTAAAAATACTTTTTTCTTCAAATGCTAAATTAGTCATTTCAAGATGACTTGCATGTATTCAATAAAATCGCACCTACCTATGTAATGTTACACAGCTACATGTAGGTAGACTCACAGATATGTACATACAGGTACCACACACATCCCTCATTGGGACAACCCAGTCATTTATGGTATGTTTCACAGTTTGGATAACCGTACCTCATAAAAATTATGAGAGAATGTAGGAGCCGATGACCTCAGGGGAATTCCAAAGCTTCAACCCATGTTAATTAATTGTTCTGCTTTAATACTTAATTTGCATAATATCAGTTATTAATGCCCCTCATTAGGTAAGATGCACATGGTCATGTTGGAAAATTAAAGACGCTGTTATGTATCAGAGAAAAAAATTGAATTTCATTCAACTACTGCCGCAATACAAAACGATAATTTTGTATAAATTCACCACCATTGTCATATTATAGTTACAATACTGTTAAATCTTCAACACAGTATTTATATTAGAATGCACAATTATGATATAAATAATCTTTAATTATTATTCACTTTTTTAATGGAATATTCATTTATTAATTATTATGCATCAGAGCGACAATGATAGATGGTGATTCAAGTTGAGAGTGCCCTATTTCCAGGGAGCACAGAAAAAGAATATACTGTAAATGCACTTATTTTGAACTAGCATTCAGCTGATTCAACTGGTTTTAATTAATAGATTT